GTGAGCTGATGATACTAGGGGACAGAGGAGTCAGAGGAGACAGTCACAGGACACATGGCACAAGGGAAGGAGCTAGGAGATGTAGAAATGGTGTGGACCTTCTGGAGGGTGGATGGAGATCTTTAATGTTTTCTAGTGTTTCAGCTCCCTAGAGACTCAGCAGTATCCTTGCAGTAGTACAGGGGGGTTGTGTGCAAATATTTCCATTTTTGCTGTACAGAAAGTGCCAGCCAGATGTGGGATTACTGGCATCTCCAATGTAGAGGAAGATGTTATTCCTACTGTAAAGCACTTATCAGTCCAGTTTGTTTAACACTGAAAAGATTAATGGTAGTGTTTGCAAAAGCATTCAGGTGACTTGTGGTCTCCAGTCCAATTCACCACTTAATTTAAGAGATGTGCCATGTAAGGATTTTTTAGCAAAGTCTCAAATTAACTGGGGGAGGTAGCTTGTTGTACAGGTTTCCGTGGAAAAAACAGCAATAAGCAATAAGTAATGTAGCTTTTGTGGGAGAGAACCCAGAGAAAGTGGAAATTAGTGTTTAGCACATTAGTTGATCTTGCAGTGATAACTGATGGTGAGGATGTTTAGAGATGCCTGGCATTCCCCTTTTCCCTAAGCAGCTTTAGATGCTCATTACTTAAAAAAAACCCCAAAACAACAACAGCAAAAAAAACCCAAAACCAAACCTTACCAAAAAAAAAAAAAACAAACCCACAAAAAAAAAGAAAACACCAACCAAAAAAATCCAACAATAACAAACACATTAAAAAAATCAAGAACAGGAGCCAAGTGCTCAACTTCTCTAGGAGTTGATCTGTTGTAGTCAATTGAGCTGTTCTGGACAACAGAGAATTTTCACTATGATATGATGAGGATATGTCCTGCATTTATTCTCAGTTAAGAAACATGTGCACCATTACTGCACAGATGATTCATCTCAGAGAGTAGAGTGTTTTTTGGCAGTGAACTTAAAATATCACACTTTAACACCACAGAGGAATGATTTCTTTGAAAAGAATTCAAGTACAAAACCCCCAACCATGCCCTTCACTTTACTATGAATCAAAAAAGTTATTTACCCAGCTCATTCAGAAATAATGGTGAAGTATGTAGCCAGAGTCTGTTGGCATGTTAACTGATAGTATTTAATAGCAATATCTCTCTTGAGAAAATACCTAATATTGAATTTTGTAAAATAGTCCTTTTCTGAGACCTGAAGTAATGTTACATGAAACAAAATGCCACTTTTAATATAAGGCTGATTGTAAGCTTTGTTCTTCCTTGATGCTTAACATGTACACATTTCCAACCCAGAAATGTTTATGCGGTCATTTTGAATAAGTTCAAATGATACCAGAGGTTATAAACATTCATGTTGAGCATACTTAGCTTTGCAGACCATTCTGTGTAATTTGTGCAAAAGTTTTGAAGAACACAGGTTGAGGAGCAAGTTGCAATTCAACAGTCCTACACTCCAAAAGGGCAGAAAACCTGTTGGGAATGCAAGCACTGCACTGTGAGTTGGGTATAGCAAGGAAGGTTTCTGCTTAACAGTGTACTCTCAAAAGAGCCTTGTGTGGCCCGTGGTATATCTATGATATCTGTAATTTGGATTTGCCTCACCAGGCAAGGCAAGTTTTATGAAGTTACCTGGGACAGTTCTCATCTGGCAACTTCACCGAGCTTTAGAAATGGACAACCCAGTTTTCAGCTCTTTGCCAGTGTTTTTGCTTCTTAGAACTCAAAGGTGTTATGCTGATTTGCACCAGCCACTCATCTGCCCTTGGGATTTGGTTGCAGACTTACTCTGAATTCTGGTGAGATGTTTGAGGTATGGACAGAAACAAACATGCAAAGCTATTTAGTGTATTAAACGTGGTAACCCTTCCAAAACAGCATTGACCTAGTATGTCCCATTTGGAGTATCTCCAGGACTGCAGTTATATTCGACATAGGAGCTGATTTTTGAAAGTGCTATTCAACTACTTGTAAGTGGAGTTACATTAAAAATTAGGCTGCACAGATTGCAAAATCAGGCATAAAAATATGAGTGGGAAAGGCACTGTGCAACAGCAGTTTGTCTCCTGTTTTGTGGACGCTTTATAATTCACTTATCACGCACACAGTTTTATGGTATGCAGTTTTCAAATACCTTGCTTCATGCAATACACTAACTAAATGAGCAGTTATTAAATTATTTTTTCATCTGTCAGTGTGTTTCCATTGCACCTTATACACTGCATGCCATGCAAATACACAGTGAGATACAGAATTATGTCCTTATGGTCATTTCTATAATGCTTTCATAGGTCTCACCCTCTACAAGAACTTGTATCTATTAATTGTTGCCATAAAAGTCTAGCTAGCTAGCAAAACCAACTAAGTTAGCTGCTTTTAAGAATGGTTAAAAAAAAAAATTCCTCTGGGTTTCTAACTTCCCACTGAAAACTCCATGCAGTTAGATGCTTGAGTGGGATCTAAAAGCCTAGAAGACCTTATGAGTCTTGATACCAAGCTTTCATTATAATCAATCAATTTATTTTTACAATATTCCTGTACTTAAGATCATGTTGTGTCCCCTTTATAGACAGGGAAGCCCTTACAGTCAGAAGTGCCGGCTACAGTCGTAGCATCTTAACTCTCATCTCAGCACTTCTTCAGATCAGTCCTTCCCAAACTTAATACACAGAGGTTCCTTATTTTCTAAGTGTCAGGCTGATGATTGGAATATGTTCTTTGTTTTCTAAGAGTCACCAGTTGACATGGTTTGCCTGATCTCACAGGGATTCTGTGACAGAGGCTAGGATATGCTCCAGTTCTCAGGTACAGGCATTTACTGAGCTCTTGATATAACCACCCTTTTCCATGTTCTTCCTTAGAACCTGTGCACAGTGTGAGGAAAGGTTTTTGGGGGAAAAATTAAGCGATCATGTAACTAAGGACTGTACATAAAATCTAAAAGGGAACAGAAAACCTTAATTATGACACTTTAATTTTTGAGCACTTGACTTGACAGTCTTGCCATTCTCTTGATATGGTTTTTGGGAATGCAAACATTTAAAGCCAATGTATATATAAATTCTTGTGAAAGATGAATTTTCCCATCCTGCTGCCTTCATATTTCTTCTTTTAATGGGTCATTAGAAGGTTCAGCTCTTTAGATTCACAGCACATCCTCTACCACTTGATTTAAGAGTAGAAGATTTATCAGCAGAAGACAGCAGCCTGCCAGATTAGCAGAGGGTTAGAGGGGTGGGGAATAAGGAACTGAAGGAGCGTGGAAATTAGTGCATTTCCCATATGTTAATTAATTGCATAGATGATCTTCATTTCATAAGTAGCAGGTGCAAATTCTCCAGAGAAGTGTGTTCTAAGGTTCACCTCCTGAAACTCTTTCCTCTCTTCTCCTTAATCCTCTGCTAGCCCTTTACACCCTCCCCATCTGGTTTTCCAGTCTCATATGCCGTAACTGACTTCTTCATCCTCAAACTACCTCCTCCTCAGTTGCTTCATTAGCAATGATGATGGTGCTCTATTAGCATCCTCCTCACGTGTTTTTTCCCCTTCCTTCCATATACATCTCTTATCCTCCTTTTCCCTCTGTCCCCTTCCTTGGCTGCTTCTCTGCCCTGCTGTCCTTTACTCTTTAGGTCTTGATCTTAATGTTTTTGGACTTAAGACTCATCCTTTCTTCATGCATCTTGCCTCACCAGAGAATACAACTTATTTTATCCTGCTTCTTTCCATCTGAGGTTGATTCCTTCTCCTCCCCACTGCCCACAGGCAGCCTCCCACCTCCTGGCTGTAGATGCTATCAGCAGCGCAGAGCAGACATTGCGGGATTTGTCCTGCTCAGATACCACACCAGCGGGTGGGTGAGGTTGCAGAAATGAGTTTGAGGTTAATATATGAGAGCTGAATACCACACTTGAGCTGTGAAGGCATGGGGATAATCAATGCATATGAATTCACCTGGGAATTTACTGACAAACTCTGAACATGTATCCAGGGAGAGAAAGAGGGAACAGAAATATGCACTGCCAAGTATGTGTACATTTTCTTAAGAGATGGCAAAAAGCATATCCTTGGGATTCCCTAGGGAATCACTACCCTGCCAAATGTTACGTCCCTGCTTCAAACACTAAAATATTCTCAGAAAAGTGTGGTTGGGTTTGTTCTTACTATTTAAGTATGAGCAAAACTTTTTTTTCCTTTACTAAAAGTTTTGCGAAATGGTTGACTCATTCTTACTGAAAGTGCCCAAAACTTGTGCCTGAGGTAGGCACCAGCCATAGAAATTTTCCTCCTCAACAGTTTTTTTGGCAAAGGTAGGAGTATCAGAATACAAAATATTCCAATTGGACTTCTTGAATAACTTTAAAAATAGGCTGTTGCTACCTGAGCTACCAGTTACTGAATTTAGAAGAAAAAAAAAAATAGACAAAAAAAAAAAAAAAGAAAGAAATTCATATGACATTTAAAGCTAAGTAGTCTGAGAAAATTCTTGCCTTGAAAATGTGTGACATTTTCTGATTGGGAAGAAACACATGTTGTAACTGCTCCCCACTAGACAAGAAAATAGGATTTTTGGATGAGGCGATTTCTTTCCTGTGGCAGTTTTCTATCTGGGTGGGTTTGGAAACAGGGGATGCCATTGCCCAGTCATGTTACACAGAGCAACATTTCTGATTAATTTTTTTATGAACTGTCAGAAATTGCGTTCTTTGGCCCAAGACTGAAGAATAGTTGCATTGTTTTTGAAGAGAGAAGATATCCTATTTGTAGTGTGAATATTCACACAGGTGCAGAATTTAATGTTTACATAAAACCAATGTTAAGCTTACATCACTTAACAACTAGATTTTATCATTAACCATATGAAACATTAAGTTTTAATTCCCTGTATTTGTCAAAAGGCATGCATAAGCAATCAGGCAGGGTATGAATCGTAAATGTTAACATGCTGTACCTCTGTATCCCTCTTTTGACAGCGATTAGTGCAAAGCTAACTGCACGTATAATCTGTGGCAAAGAGCACGGGGAGACAGCTAAGAGACAGTGACAATGTCTTTAAACTGGCAGACAATTCCTACTCGACTTGGAGTTTTTAGAGTGAACTGCAAAGGACTAGCATGCCTCTTGGTCTTCACAGTGAGCGTTTGTGGCAGCACCCCGGGGATGTGTCCAGCAGCCTGCATCTGTGCCAGTGATATTGTAAGCTGCACCAATAAGAACCTCTCTCGGGTGCCAGGAAATCTTTATAAATGTATGAAAAGACTGGATCTGAGTTATAACAGAATCGGGTTTTTGGAGCCTGAATGGGTCCCAGCACTGTTTGAGAAACTGAACACTTTAATAATCAATCATAATAGCATTAGCAGCATTATCACTGGAAGCTTTTCCACAACACCAAATCTGAAGTACCTAGACTTGTCATCCAACAGCCTGAAGACGCTGAGCAGCCCGGTGTTTCAGGAGCTAAGGGCACTGGAGGTTCTCCTGCTGTACAACAACCAGATAACACAGATAGAGTCTTCAGCCTTTGGAGGACTCTACAAGTTACAGAAACTGTACTTAAGCTATAACTTGCTCTCACATTTCCCCCTGGACTTGTACACTGGAAAACATAAACTGACAGACCTTGTGTTGCTAGACATTTCCTTTAATCACATCCAGTCGATGCCTGTTCAGCGCCTGAGTTCAGTGATGGCCAAACATCTTAGTGGAATTTATCTTCATGGCAACCCATTTTATTGTGACTGTATGCTGTACTCCATGCTAATCTTCTGGTATCAAAGGCACTTCAGCTCGGTGGTGGACTTCAAAAATGAGTACACCTGCTTGTTGCGATCAGACCCAAGAGGTTACAATAAACTGCCTTTACTGCACGACAACTTTCTGAATTGCTCTGAAAGCACCGTCAATAGCTCTTTCCAAGCCTTTGGGTTTATTCAAGATGCCCAGGTTGGTGACAGGCTGATTGTACACTGTGACAGCAGAATCAGCGATGCAGGCACAGACTTTGTTTGGATTAGTCCGGACAATAAATTACTGGAGCCAGACCGGGGGACTGACAACTTTAAGGTGTTCCGTAACGGTAGCCTGGAGATAACAGATGCCCAGCTAGAGGACTCGGGGCTGTATTCCTGCATCGCAATAAATAAGAAAAGACTATTAAATGAAACCATAGAGGTTAGAATAAATGTTAGCAATTTTACAGTGAACAGGTCCCATGCTCATGAAGCATTTAATACAGCTTTTACCACCCTTGCTGCCTGTGTAGCCAGTATTGTTTTAGTACTGCTGTATCTCTATCTGACGCCCTGTCCATGTCAATGTAAGGCGAAAAAGAGGAAGAGGAAGCTGAACCAAAGCAACATACTCAATTCCACACCACCACAAGAGCTGCCAGCTGATGAGAAGAAGGTTAGCACTGGTAAACGAGTGGTTTTCCTGGAACCTGTGCACGAACCAAAACACAGTCAGAATGGGAAAGTGAAACTGTTTCCCAATGACAATGTCATCGGTGAGAGTATCTTAAAAACTACTCGAACAAAATCTGACTCTGATTCTGTCAACTCTGTGTTCTCAGATACACCTTTCATGCCCTCAACTTAGTTTGCTGCCTGTGTTTGTATCGTGCAGTTATGTTTCTGAATACCTCTTTTGCCTGTAGCAACCACCAGGACAAATAAATAAAAAGACAGAAAATGTTTTAAAAAAAAGTATCTATTGTCAGTCCTTGAACTGCATCTCCTCTCTTTGCGAGTACAGAGCCATGCAACAGTGATACCTTGTTTGGTAAAAGCAAACATTGTGGCATTAATGTGAATATCTTCAATGCAAGCTTAGCCTTGGCTTTTACTCTCTGGTCCATGCACAGCAATTTCTCATACATGTTTAGAGGTTCTTTCAGTATATGCAACTGACTCTTCAGAGGCAGAGGCTGACCCCTATAAAATGCCCTCAGTCATGCTGATAACTCAGCTCCTCTGCAGTGAGCACAGAAGCAAACCCAGGTGACTACAAGACAAATGCCCAGGCTTCCTGCAATTCCTTTCACAGGCTCATAAAATCTTTACAATAAAATCACTAGGGGGGAAAAAAGTTGTGAGTTTTCTTGGACTCGTCAGAACAAAAAGATTAAATTTGCCACCAGGATGCCTAGCAGCACTGGACAAATGTTTATGGCCTTCAACTGATAATACGTTTGCCAGTAATTTCTTGAAAACTTTAAGCAGGAAGCATTGTACTAATTTTATTCAAAACTTAGTCATGGGATTGTTCATGACAAGTAAAGTGGTTGTATGTGTTTATAAATATTGCTACGTGAATTAAAACAGGTAAATGTTAACATGTTACCTTTGCCTTAGTTGAGGAATGAAAGTTGTCAGTCATGAGGACTCAAGTTAATCAGCAGTAACTCATTAAGCTCTGATAGCTGGATTGATTTGCAATCAGTTGTCAACCTCCACTGCTCACTTTGTGCTTGGCATCACACGTAGTGAACAAGCCTCCCACCATCACCAGGGCTCCTGCTTCATCTTAGGGGTGGGTGGCTTCTCTTCCGAGGTAACTTCATGAAATAGGGGAAATATTTCAATTAATTCTTTCAGTGGCACATGGTTCCAGCAGTGTTATAAAATTTGCTTCCTAAAGATTTTTCTTAAAAGAGGAAATACAATATTTGGACAAATTAATGAAATCTGTAGAAGACTTTACACACTGTGAAATTAGAAAGCACAGCTTTTCTCTTGACTTGGCCCTTGTCTTGTATGTAGATCTTCCTTCCTTGACCAAATGTATCACTGTTAAAGTTTATGAACCTCCTAAGACTGGCCTGGACTGGTCATGCAACATAGGTTGCATGAAGAGTTGTGTTATTGTAACTGAGGTATTGAGCATACTGTTATATTTGCTATTTCTTTTTCTGTTATATTTGCCCCCCCCCCCCCTTTTTTTTTTTTAGCTGACTTACACTGGGACTAGGCTGGACTTTGCCAATCTTCCTCACATTGATTAGTACCAACTTCAAAGGAGTTTTGCAGGGAATTACAGCTTACCGAAGAGGAGTAATTGGAGCACGTCTGTCTCATTCTGTCTTTGAGGAATATGCTGAAAGGGTAAAGGATAAACAAAATCAGAATCAAAGGACTACATAGTATGGCAACTGTAATTTATTTTTAAGAGGCTTACTGTAACAGCCACTTGCCATTTTTCATTATTTCTTTTGAGAGGCATGTCATCATACTGAAGCTTATATCTGGCTGAGCCAAAGCTATCAACAATCGATTTGCTATGGAGAAATCCTGACATAGCTAATTGTTTGAAAGCAAGCTATCTGGAAAACAGATTAGATCAGGAAACAGTGTTGCTGCGATATGCACAAAGTATGTGGAATTAGAAATCTGCTGGAGAATTTAATTCAGACATTCAGGGAAACAGAATATGGAAATTCTTTTTTCTAGGCAGAGGATAATATTTAGGAGAGAAAGATGACCAGGGGTTTGGGTCTTTTATTTGTACGTTTATCTGCGTAAATTTAAAAATTACTCCTGTTATCAGGCAGGTCAGTGTCCTTTCATTCCCTCTTTTATCTGTATATGTGTATTAAAAGAAAATCCATATGTTTATATACAAGGTTTAATGGAAAAGCAGTGATTGTGTTTGCTAAAATCCGTCATATAGTTGGATCATCTGTCAGTGAGGGAAAGGCTTGACACTGTCTCCTTCTCAAATATTTTTTTTTTTTAATTGAAAAGATTCAGCTAAGCTTTGTGATCTGGGGCTGTGCCACATATGTGGTGGGTGTCCTCCCTGTTGTTCAAGGAAGTGATCAATGAGCCGGAGCCAAAAGAGCTGAAACGGAGGTGAGGCAGAGTGGGAAACGGAGAGGCGGATACTCCCGTGGAGAGCTGTACAGATCAGTTACAGCTCTGGGCAGATATTATGGTCTGTTGTCATACAAGAGGTTAATTGACCCAGATTTTAGTGTTTACACAAGAGCACTGACGGTCAGTTCCAAGTTGTGTTTAAAAAGAAAACAGGCTGTTGTCGGTGTGGCTGGGAGGCAGATGTACACATCTCCTTGGCAGCTACAGCTCAGCAGGTGCACCCTGCTGCTGCTCACGATATAAGGTAGTGACACCGTGTATTGCACTCACAGTGCATTTTAAATATGCATGGTAGTCCTAAATAATAATAAAAAAAAGGTACAGATCTTGCAGCATTCCTTCTGCAGGGCTGCTGTCCTGCAGCAAGAGCATGGGGATTTGTGGGATCAGAGTAATCTTGCCAGATGACTAGAGAAGCTGGGTGTTGATCTAAACAGCAGGTATTTACTGTGACTATTAACTGTCTGTATTTTACTGACTGCTTCAAAGTGCTCACAGTTGTAACTGTGATTACGAACAAGGTGGTGAAACCAAAGCCTTTGAAAGGGCCATTGGCTTGTTTGCTGTTTCTTTACATAATCATAGCTTAATGAGTTCAGTAGATGCAGTTCTAATAAAGATTTTTAAAGTCCCTACTGAATATTTTTCATATAGCACCAACACCATAAATCTACAATCCCAGTCATCTCCTTGCAAGGCTGCAGAAACCCAGTGCAGCCCAGCTGTTTCTCCCTTCCCATCTCAATGCTGGGAGGGCTGTGCGTGGGGAGCTGGCACTGCCGTCCAGCTCCACAGCCACGCAGCACCCTGGGTGGTCGCATGGGCAGGAGGGGCTGCCCAGGCGCAACACCAGCAGCTCTGGTGTGGTCCACCCTCCCAGCGAGTCTTCATCAGGAGGACTGTCCCTTCCCCATTAGCCTATGTCATGGATTTCCCCTTGCTGTTTCCAGCAACTACCAGAGAGCTTAATGACATTTTTAATAGAGTGAGCTCAGTGCTGCAAGGTGTTGAGTGCTCTGGCACCTGTCCAGCCACGCTCTTAAAATGGGTTTGCATTAAGGCAGACGTATCAGCCCACTGGCAAGAAGTCTCTGGTTGGCTGTAGGGTTGCTCGCTGCCTCTGCAGGATGCCTGGAATGAGATATGCAGCTCAGATAACCCCGTGTGAATTTTGCTCTCCCTTGTCTTCTTTGCAGTGCCTGAGACTGTGCAATACAACATCATAAACAGGGCTCTAAGCTATAGCTCAATACTGTGTCTTTCTGTGGGGCTTCTTTGAACCTCGGTCCTCCACCATTTTAACACTGGTGAGCAGCTTTTCTCTTGCTCAAGGGCCCATTGCATCAGTTCCAGCTGTCTCACCGATCAAAAACGGGGGTAATAGCCACTGACAGCTCTGGGAGGTCATGTCCTTGCCTCTGTGCGTTTACAGTACTGCACATGCCTGCAAGAAATAAGCTTTTGTGGAGTGCATTGGAAATGGTTGTTTGAGGCCAGCATGAAACCTCTCAGGCTGGTCCTGAGCATAGCAACATCAACTGCATAACTGCATTGTCCCCATGTTACCCACCTGCAGTGGCAGGTGAGAGGGAAGGCTGCTAGTCATCTCTCTTGACCTCGATAAGGTTAAATATCTGTCTGTGACCACATTATTAGCAATGAACACATACAATGGCTGACTGCCCCACAGATATGCTGAGCAGCTGCCAACCAAGCTGGAAGCTGAGGGTGGACCGAAGTGGTTTCCTCATGCCAGCCCTTCATCCGCAGTTTGTTATGACAGCCAGTGCCGTGTCCCTTTCGGCCAAATGTTCACCCCTGGCTTGTTAGGCAAATAGTGCTTGGGGTTATTAATGTATCTATCTCCTTAGCGTTGCTTCTTTGAAAAGTCAGATTTCTGAGGACTGCTAATGACAGTGTCAAAGGAATTATGTAACTTGTTCTTCTGAACAAACAAAACCCTAGGGTCAAGTTGTGATTAAACCATACACTTTCATTTAGGATAGCACAAGATTATTTCTTCCTACTAGAGTAAATCAACCTCCTTCAGGATGGTTTTATACCTCAACACAGCATATTCCTAATAACCTCTCATGTCTCTGAACTGGGTGAGAATAAACCAGCCTTTATGGGCCAAAGCATGCTATTGTGGTCATCACTAAAGTAATGCAGAAGTGACAGTCCCCTGTGGACTACAGCCGCTGGCCATCCTGCCCAGCACACACTTCTGCTCTCTTCGTCAAGGCCAAGCTGTCACCATTTGGCCGTGGCAGGTGCAGGGACTGTTTCCAACCTCTTCCTTGTAGTTCTCTGTGTCAAGACTCGCTTCCTGCAGACAGTTTCTGGATGTACTGCAAAGTTGCTGGAAGGGATCATTTTAATTGATTAATTAAAACAGCTACTTCCAAATTACTTCTAAATGATGAGAACTGGCATTGGTAAGTAGTAGCTTTTGAGAAGACAGGATACACTTTTCATTTACAGACTGAGCAATTTAGATTTAACTGACTTTCTTCTTGTTCTTTCTGGTAAACAATGCTTGAATCATTATATGGAGAAAGAAAGAGAGTGCATATTTAAAGATTTTTTCCTGTTTCTTTTGTGTTTTTCCAGTTGTCCAGCAGGGCTCAGATGTGGATAACAATAGAAAACTGAGGATGAAAGCAATAAAGGAAAAGAAAGAATTTTTGTCCAAAATTCACTTGATATTTTTAAAAAAGGCTAATATCTGATATCTTGCCTTCTGTGGCTACATGACAAAAACTAAAAAAATGAAATCTAAATACAGGATTCATGGGTATTTTGGGGGGTCTGGGTGTTAGCAG